TTTGCCTTAGTGAGATACACAGAGAAACGTGAAGAAATCTGGCTTTAAAAAGATATAGCTTGTCTCTGCTCACTTTCCAATTGCTTTCCAACTTGAGCCTTTAGGTGTATATCACCTCATTTAAAATTATAGTAGGTTTATCTATGTCAGATACCCCTGAGTCACTGCCTTTGCTTAATGGCTACCAGTTCCCAAAATGTTTCACTTCCTTCACCTTTTACTCTCTATTTCACCCAAGTTCATTTCCAAAAAGGAAACTATTGAATGTCTTAAGGTGTGTGCACTACCATTTAACAAAAAGAAGTTAGAATGTTAGAAAGTGCTGTTTTTGTATTTAACCAACTAATACACACCAGAGGCCAAGGTAGGTGTTACAAACATTGGAAATGCATCTCTCAGAACTGACTATTCATTTGGGGATAAGTTAGATCCTACCAGCAATGTCTAAAATCCAAATCTAGACAGCTCATTAAGATATCTTCTAGTCCAGACTTCAAATACTGCTACTCTCTCTTGCTCAGTCCTACAAAATTAAGTGCTTAGCTTCTTAAACTATCAGTCAAGACTGGAGAGGAAATGAAAAACTCAGGTGTGCAGATGAATACTCTAAAAGACTTGTACAATATGTTAACATAAAAATGAATACATATGAATATACATATATTTAAATGTGTATATATGTGTGTGGATTGCTGCCTAAAATGGATTTCAAGTACAATTTCTATTAGTTTAGGAAAAGTATCAATTTTTATTTGAGTTTCAATAATTGTTCAATTATATCATTTTAGGTGTAGTACTTTTATTAGCATCAATTCTACTCTCAAGGGCCTTGGGGTGCCTAAAAGTCACTATACTTTATTTTACTAATGATTACATCTTTCCATAGTGCTTTCCATGGTTTGAAAACCCTAATGCTATTTTTCTACTGGAACATTTACTCAAAGACCTTGTAGAAATTAATTGCATTAATAACAGAGACAGTTTCCCTATTACAATGATCAGTGCTCTTAGACATTAATACTCCAACACTCTGTATTGTCACTTTCTTCCTCAGGGCCTAAGGAACTTCTAGGTTTACATTATTGGTTGTGGCTTCTTTTCTTTCTGGAAATATGGGCATTTCTAATGATGAGAACTGCCAAAAGTTGTCAATGTTATTTTTCTTCTTTTCCATTAGAGATGACTGTGGCTGAATAGCTAAGTAATCTATAGTCTAACTTCACTTAATTGTTTTTATTACATGACATGAAGAAATATAGTGAGTAATCACTTCTGTTTTACATGAGGCAAATCGCTCATGCTTTCCACAGCAAGATGAAGCTTTAACTTGCCTAATCTCCCATTAACATCCTGTTCAAATCCTGACAGGATATACTCAGCCCTCTGTGGTTCTCTAGTGAATGAAGACTAGATTGCATTAGTGGTTCTCAATTATTCCATTTGCCTGTGGATTCCTTCAAAACAAAGCATCCAGAAAACAATTGGTCCCAGGTCTATCTAACTGGTGTAATTTGTCTACCTTATGCTCTATCCTTTGAGGAGAATGAGTATGTTCTAATATATAACCTAAGCCTCACTTCAGTGTAGCAATACTTAGTTTGTGTTTTTCATTTCCTTTTTCTCTTGTAAATATACTTTGAAAATGAAAGTTATGTAATCTGATTACAGAAATCTCAATACACCAGAAATACAAAGAAAAAAAATGTCACCTCATGTCTTCCTCCTCAAAACAGTGGTCTTCTCATTTTTAACATGTTTGTGCATCAATTTCCCATTTTTCTTTCTTCTATACTGAGTACATAGAATTTTCTGTACAACTTTATTACTTGGCATTATAAAACACACATTTTCTTTAGTAGTTACAAAACATTGTATTTTCTCAATATATCATAAATCATTTATCAATTCCCTTGTTGATCATATAGTTTCCTTCATTTGTTATATTATTACAAATGATGTTTAATAAAAATATTTGCAAATGAAGTTTCATTTACATTTTATCTTAGTCTTTAGGACAAATTCTCAGAAGTAGAGTTACTAGGTCAAATAGCAGTATCTTTACTTTTTAGTGCTAAGCGTGGACACAGCATCTTACACGTGCTAGGCACATGCTCTACCACTGAGCCACAACCCTAGGCCTTGGATATAAGCATTCTCAATGCTTCTGATGAAAACAGTCAAATCTCCACCAACTGGCATTTCATCATGTCTTTATTATTTATTTGCTTATTCAACTGATATTCATCAAGCACATACCATATGTCAGATATTGTTCTAGATTTATATGGATGTATTGGTGAACAAGAAGATAAAAGTTCATGTCCTCATGAAATTCATATGCTAGAATAACAGTTCAGGAGGAAACAATCAAAAACACATTATGAGACCAAGCAATACTAAGTAAAAGAAAACAGAAGCAGAAAAGGTAACAGAAAATGAGGATGTACAATAGGAATCATTTCAAAGGAAAGTCAGGGTAGACATTCCTGATGAAAGAACACTTAAATAACTAGAGGGGAAAGTATATGCAAAGGTCCTCAGGAAAAAAAAAAACCCAACATTTATGACATGCTTAAGGAACAAATTAGAGTGCAAAATTCCTAGAGCGTTTTGAGCAAGGGTATACATAAAGTTTGCTAAGTAATGATATCAAAATCATGGAGGGCCTTGTAGACCTCAG